CTTTTTATTGCGTGGGGGGAAAAAAAACGAAAAGAGAAAAAAAGTAAAAGGACGAAAAAAAGAAATTCTGTGCTTGTTTCAGCCGCGTGTAGTTCCACCCCCACCGCCCTTTTTTATTATTATTGCTGCTCGTGTCGTTGCCGTGCTTCGATGACTCGGCTTCGGCCCAGACTGCCGCCCCCGCGGCTTCCGTGTGTGCGTCTGCCACGCCGGTCCGAAACGGGGGGAGGGAAACGAAGGAAAAGAAGCGGGCAAAAGGCAGAGGAAGGGGGCGGGGAATGCTGCAGCGGCAATTGGGTGGTGTGCGGTGGCGAGCAGGCGGAGGGAAGAGTCAACCTTTGATTCTGTCGAGCGGGGGGCAACCGCCACCTCCCCCGCTCTCTCCTTCTCTCTCCTACTTCTCCCTTGCCTTCTCTGTGGGTGTATTCCCTCGCGCCGCCCCTGCGCAGAGACGCACGCGCGGGGGAGAGCGGAAGGCGCCTCGCATCAACACTCTACAAGCATGGCGCTCGGCGGCCGCGTTGCCGTGCCCCGCAGCTACGTGCGGGCGGTGGGACGCGGGCTGCGGAGCGTGCTGCGGCGACAGCCCGGCACACCCGCACTGCACGGTCAGCGCTGCATGCTAGACGAGGCCCTGCATCACGCAGCGGCGTTTCAGGAGCGCGCGGCGAGGCGCTGGGCGGCGGCCGCGTTGGGCCCGGCCCAACCTTACTGGCGTCGTCGGCCTCGCCCGGGAGAGGCGGAGGCCGCAGGTGCTGCTGCTCCGCTAACGCTGCAGCATCTCGCCGGCGTTGAAGCGGTGCCGCCTGACGGCCACGAGGCGGAGGAGGAGGACACGCTGACATTCGCTGAGAGGCAGCAGGCAAGGCTGCATGCCGCGCTCCAGCAGTGGGTCTTCTACGCCAGCTTCCGCTGCAACAGAGCCGAGTTTGTCGCGCGGCAATCGAAGGTGGCGAAGATACTCCTGCTCGCGCCCTTGCGGGTGACTCCCTCCAGCCACAGCAGCCCTGCGGGAGCGGAGCGCCTGGAGGCCTCCGTGCGGCGCCGTGGTGCACGGGCGTACGTCGACTTACTGGTGCACCATAAGCTGGCCATGCAGCGGGAAGGGGAGTGGGCAGCGTTGTGCGAGACGTGCGCCCGTGCACGGGGGGAGCCGCAAGAAAGTTCCGTGGACGCGAGTCAGGCGTCCCGTGTGATGGCGCTGCCGTTGCTTCAATCGTCCAGCCCCGACGCGTCGTGGGAGCGAAGCCTCGCGGTGCTTTCCTGGGCGATGCAATTCCGCAGCCATCGCCGGCCGTCCGAGCCGCAGCAGCCGCGCCACATTTCTTCGGTCGACATCGCGGCGGTTCTACAGCAGTACGCGCAGCACTTTGGCGAGCGGTTGCCGGGGCTCACGCCCACCGACGACGTCCAGGCCCCACTGGTGCTGGGCGGTGCGGCCGAGCACGCCGTCGTGACGCGGCTGCAGCGGTGGTGGGTGGCGGCGCGTGAGGCGGAACAGCGCGACCCGAAGCTTGCCGAGCTCTGCGGGCTGGATCGCACGGTGCAGGACCGCATTCAGGTGGAAGGGCGAAAGGTGACGTTGGCGACGGCCAGCGAGGCAGACGCCGGGGCTGACGCCGCGTTCGCGGAGCTGCTTCTGCAAGGGCGCTGGGAAGACGTCCTGCGCCACGTTGAGCGCGTCGCCGCCGCCGCGCTGCGGCGTCGTGAGGCCGCGGCTGAACGGCAGAAGGAGCAGGCGGGGGAGGAGGACGGGGATGCAGATGCAGATGCCGCGGTGCGCGGGGACGTGGCTGGCGCCCCCGGCGAGGCGCAGGAGGGGCGTCGCTGCACCAGCGGGGACACCGCCGTGTCCGACGTTCTGGCGACGTTCTTCAACCGACCGCGTCCCCTCGTCGTGAAGGGGAAGTTGTGGGTGCACAGCACCGCGGCACGTCTCGGACGCGCCCCGCATGCGCTGCTCACCGCAGCCGAGACGCCGGCCGAGGCGGAGCTGCTGCGTCGGCCGCCCACCGCAGGGCTCCACGCGCGTCGTGGCCTCCCCAAGGCGCGTGGGAAGGTCCAAGGTAAAGGAGGCACCGACAACCCCCCCGCTGCCGCGCTGGTAGAGCTGCGCCGCAAGATGTGGATCCACTCTCAGCTTCCACGGCATGTGCCACACTCAATCGTGCGGTTTGAGGGCGCCGGTGCGGCCATGCTGCCGTACGTCTGGCGCGCCCCCGCGAAGGAGCTTGCCGCGTGGCTCCTGCTCAGCACCATTGCCGCCGCTGCAGAAGGGCAGCAGCTGGGCGGCGTAGAGGATGTGCTGCATCGGGTCCGCATGCAGACGCTTTACACACTCTTCTCCCCTGTCCCGTACTACGCGGCGTTTCAGGAATATACCTCAGGCCTGCTCATTCAGCTGGGCAATCTTTTGGCGCCGCCGGCTGTGATGCGTGTGGCGGTGCGCGCGCTTTTGCGTCCACCGTCGCTCCGACACTTCTACGACGTACGGAAGCGGCGACGGATTCCAGTCGAGGTTGCTTGTCGTCGCCTGTGGTGGGGGTCGCTGGAGGAGGCAGTGGACGCGGAGGACGGGGCGGTGACAGGCTCCGCCCTTTCGCAGTCTGCCGCCCGCACACTGGGGCAGCTGCGGCGCGACCCTGACGCACTGAAGGAGTTCGTCGTGTGTAAGGCCGCCAGTCTGCGCAACTATCACGTCTCCACATGGATTGAGAGCTGCAGTAAGGTGGAGACACTGGCGGGGCTGCTGGACCTCCTCGTGCGGGAGACGAACATGTACGGGCCGCCGGTTCTCGCCCCTGAGGCGGCGGCCGCGCTGCTCACGGCGGTGCTCCTCCTCCTCCTTCGCCCCCACCTCCCGTGCGACTCCGCAGCTGGCGAAGAGGAACAGACCGTCGCCGCCGCCACAGACGCGCTGCGGACGCTTGGCGTTGTGTACTTCGCGGTGCCTGCCGAGCGGGCCCATGGTGCGGCGCCGTACTTCAAGGGCGTCTACCACGAGCGCTACATCGCCGCAACCCCCCTGGATTGGGCGGCGGCGGCGGGGTGGAGCGGGGCGGAGGCGCTGCTGGTGGGCCGCTCGATTCGCCGCACAACGAAGTACCCCACGACGACCACAGAGACGTTTTTTCGCGTCGCGCGACCGCAGCGGGGGCCCTACCGCGGCGCGCACTGCCCGACGGTCTCGTGCCGCGTGCCGGAGCTGCGACTGCGCCTCATGACCGTCGACCTCCTCGCGGCAGCGGGGTACTTCGCGGAGCAACGGCAGAAGCAGAGCGCGGAGGTGGCGGCGGCGCCCGACGCCCAGCCCGGCATTGTCGCGCGCCACCTGCCGTTTGGCGTGGTGGCGGTGCAGAAGCCGGCCGGGATGAGCACGACGCTGCACGCGGCATACCCGCACCTCGTCAATTTTCTCGCCCGGTGCGTGCCGTGGAGGGGCGGCGACGTCCCCGTGCTCTTCCAGCACGGCCTTGTCAACCGCATCGACGTCGGCACGAGCGGGCTGGTGCTGGTCACCGAGACGGAGCCGTCGCTGGTGGCGACGCGGCGCGCAAGCGTCGTGGACCGGCGCGTGGAGAAGACATACCGGGCCCTTGTGCTGCACTGCCCCCCGCCGGCGTCGCGGCTGGGACGCGAGGAGTTTTGGTACCTCAACCCCAGCGGCGTCATCACAGGAGACGTCTTCGCCAACGGCGCCGACTACGCCCTGCAGCTCGCGGCCCAGGATGGCCAGCGAGGGCGAGGACTGCCGCCGGCGTCCATGGACCGGCGTCCGGCGACAACGGTGTACCGTGTGCTGCGCTACTACCCCGCCAGTGGGGTGTATGACGTGGAGGTGCGGCTGCGCAGCGGACGCCGGCATCAGATTCGGCAGCACTTTGCCCAGCTTTGCCATCCGCTGCTTGGCGATGCTCGCTATCACGCGCGGGCGAAGGCGCTGGGGGAGCAGATGGGGCTGCATCGCCTCGCGCTGCACGCGTCCCGAATTACGCTCCTGCCGCCTCCAGCAGCTGCTGCACGGCAGGCGCTCGTCGACGCGGCACATGCCTGGGATGCGAACTCGGAGAAGACGGTCGTAGAGTGCCCGCTGCCGGACGACATGCGGCGCGCGCTGCGTTGGCTGCAGGAGCGGGAGGAGAAGCGAGGAGGCGGGGGGGGCTCCATGTAGGCGCCAGCGCAGCTGTTTCCTTCGTTATTACTTTTGTTTGATTGGTTCCTCCGTGTGCGTGGGCCGCACATTACATAAACGCACACAAGCAAACACAAAAACAAAACTGAAGAATAAAAAAAAAAAGAGGCGGAACGTGCGGAAGGCGGTGGCCCAACTACCCCCCCGGTCAGGATTTGTGGTTACTTTTAAAGGGGGATACCCACACGTGCTCTCGCTCTCGCTCTCACAGGCAGGCGTGAAATCTGAGGCTGTCGCCGTACTGTCGGCGCACGCACGGTTGACTTTGCTCCTTTTCCACTTGGACCCATTCTTGCGCGACCGAAATAGTTGGCGGAAGACGGAAACTCTGAAGGATCCTTCGCATCGTCCGAGCAAAGGGCGTAGAGAGCGAGGGTGAGAAGCGGGGAGGGAGGAGAGATGTGTTCCACGGGGGCGGGGCTCACTCCACAGCAGGAGGCCGCCTACGACCGGCGTCTGCGGGAGGCTCAGGCCGCCAAGCAAAAGGGCAACGAACTTCTGGCTGGGCTGGAGGGAGAGGAGGGGACGCCGGACGCCAACAAGAGGCTGCGTGAGGCGGCGTTCTGCTACCGGTGCGGCTGCATGCACCTCGCAGAGTACCTCCCCGCGACGACGGAGGAGGCGGAGGGGAGCCTGCAGGACATGTTAGTCAACCGCCAGGCGAGGGCCAGGCGCTGCCCGCTCGACGCGGGCCGACTCACCAAGGTCGCAGAGTTGTACGCCGCCCTGCAGAACAACCTGACGTTGGTGAACTCGCGTCTTGGCCGCTACGTGGAGGCGGTGGCGTGCGCCACGGCCGTGCTCGCTGTTCCCGGGCACGCGGGCGACAAGAAGGCGCTGCTGCGGCGCGCCTCCTGCAACTGCGCCCTCAAGAATTTTGCTGCGGCGGAGAACGACCTGGACGTCCTGGAGCGCCTCTTCAGGGAGGAGGGCGTGCAGCCTGACTGCCTCGTGCCCGAGCTGCGCGGCCAAATTTTGAGTGCCCGGCGTGAGGCGCTGGAGAAGGAGCGCAGCATGTGCAAGAAGATGTTCACGTAAGAGGCCCAGGCAGAAAGGAGGAAGGAAGCTCCCTCATAAGAAGAAAAGAAAAGAAGAAAAAAATCTACGAAATATGCATTATGGAAACGAACGAAAGGAGGAGGAGGGGGTGGCGGGTGCCACCTCTGCTTCTTGCGGGCCTCCGATTCTTCTTCGCCTCCTCCTGCAAGGGTGTGTCCCCCGCTGCGCCAAGTTGGGCCTATACACAGCCACACATTATATCCACACAAAACGATATATATATATCTCTCTCTCTCGGTGTGTGTGTGTGTGTGTGTGTGTGCGTCGGGCAGCCATAATTTTATTGCGTGTAGTTGTTTCCGCCTGCTTTCCTCTGTTTGTGTGCGTGTTGCTTCTTCCCCGTGGCAGTGGGACCGCGCCTGCCGCCTGCCGCCGCTGTGCTCGACAGCCGCAGCGCGACCCTCTCTCTCTCTCTCTCTCTCTCTCTCTCTCTTTCGCTAGGTGTAGCAGCAGGGTAGCGGAGCGCGGCAGCGGGGCACGCCTCACACCGCCTCCTCAAGGCATCAAGCGTCAAGCCAGAGATTTGCCGGTTTCGCTGGGTTTCCTCTTTTTTCTTTATTGTTATTTTGGTTGCCTCGTGAGGATGCGCCGCTGCCGCCTCGCGAGGAACGTGGCGGCGTTCTACGAATTCGTCGACAACAATTTTCTCAACAACAAGCGCCCTCCGGTGCCGGGCGGGGCCTGGCCGCTCGAGAGCCTTCGCGGGAAGAGCCTCGCGGACCTGCAGCAGATTTGGTTTCTGCTGCTGAAGGAGCGCAACATGCTGCACTCCACGCGGGAGCACTACCTGCGCCACCAGGAGGAGCTCGGCGCGATGCCGGCCCCCTCGCGGCTCAAGATGGTGCAGGAGTCGATGCAAAACATCAAGCGCGTCGTGAAGGAGCGTGACGCGGCGGCGACGGCGGAGGCCGTCGCGATCTTCCAGGAGCGGCTGGAGCGCGGCATCTACCGCTACCCGCCCGGGCCCCCGCCCCCGCCGGGCGCCCACGACCCCACCGTCGTCGTCAAGGTGACACTCAGCCGCCGCGTCGAGGCGGACCGGCTGCGGGAACTCTTCGGGCGCTACGACGTCTTCGAGCCCCACAAGGGGATCGCCCGGGTGGAGCTGCGGCTGCCCGATGAGGTGCTGCGGCGCAAGGAGGAGGCGGAGCAGCTGTGGACGCAGTACATGGCGGAGAAGAGTGACGTACGGGCGTACCACCAGTGGTCGGCCGCGCCCAGCGCGTACGACTACGCCAGCGTGGAACTGGCCCCGGGCGTGTTTGCCAACGACGCCGTCGCCGAGGCGTCCGCCCGCAACGCCGCAAAAGACGCGGACGGTGGTGGGAATGATTCGAGCAGCGGCAGGGAGGTGGATGCGGCTGACGACGGGGCGGTGGTGGCGGCGCGCCTACCCGTGCCGGCGAGCAAGCAGCGTCCGCCGCCGCCGAAGAACCCGCTGGCGCGGCTGAAGGAGGAGCGCCGCTCGTACCTCGCGCGCACCGTCATCCAGCTTGGGTACTTCCCGAACATCACGCTGCAGCCGCCACGCTACACGCGCGCGGAGGAGGTGCCGCGGCCGACGCACCCGGACGAGATTGAGGGGCCGTGGGAGGCGTACATCACATACGACCGACGCGACGGCCTCGAGTATGCGCAGTCGCTCGGCATCACGAGCATCGACGGGGCGGAGGTGATGGCGGTGGTGGAGCACAAGCGGGAGCCGCAGCCATACGCCAAGGTGGACCCCGTCTTCCTCGAGGCGCTGCGACGCGAGAAGGCGCGGGAGGAGACGCTGATGAAGTGGCCGCACGTCCCCGAGTGGAAGTACGAGTACAGCGAGTACACGCGGAAGCACCTGGATGAGATTGTGCGGTACAACTACAGCAACGTCGTCGACTACGTGGACCGTGAGGTGCTCCTCACCGGACGTTCGGTGTGGGAGTGCCCAATCGATATTGACTACTCCTGCGGCGGCGCCAAGTCCGTGCCGCCGCACGCAAAGAAGCCGCTGCGCTACATGGACGCCGGCATTGCCGAGGTGGGCGTCACAGACATTTAACCCATCGCCGGCTGCTACTGATGTTTGTGTGTTTGCGTCTGTGTGGAGGGGAGGGGTTGTCCCTCGCCCCTCGGCGTCCTGCGTGCTTGCGCAGGGCTTCTTCCTCCTTCCCTCCTCCCCTTCGCTTTGCGGCCCGCAACGATGATGCGCTGAGTCGGTTGGTTGGTGCGTAACGGCGGTGGGCGGTGGTGATCAAACGGGTGATGCTTGACGCCCCTGCTGCGGCTGCGGCTGTGGCTGTATTTCTGCGGAGATGCCTCTTTCGAGGTCCCTTCTACTCCTCCTGCCTTTTGCGCTTCTTATCGGTCCTTCGTGCATTTGTCCTCGGCGCTTCTCCTCCGCCTCTCTCTTTTGTCTCCCTCCCGAGCGCAACAGAGCGAATAGAGCGAACGAGGGAAAATTAGCGAGGGCGCCGCGGAAGATGGAGCGGCGGCAGGCGGGCGCGGGAAACGACCCGGAGGCGTCGCTGCGGGACGAGGAGGTGCAGCGCCGCGAATCCCTGCGGAGCCCGACGATTGAGTCCGGCAACAACTTCATGACGCAGTTCGCGCTCTACGACGTCAACGGCATTACGCTGCGGGGCGGCAACCGCCAGGCGTCGAGTGTGCCGCGCGACGGCGTCGGCGGCGGGCTGCTGCAGATGGTCCCCCCGTTCGGTGTCGGGGCGGGCGGGATCCCCGTCGTTCCGCACCGCAGGCGCTCGCTGCGGCACAGGGGCTCCGTCCAGAACCAGCTGCGCTTCGGGGCGGCGAAGCAGAACGTGTACGTAGTGCAGCTCGCCAGCGACGCGGGCGGGATTGAGATGCAGGAGGCCAGCCAGCACCTCCTCAACGCGGTGCGGATGCGGGAGAAGTACAAGGCGGTCGACAAGGGGCAGCAGGAGGGGATGGAACGGCTCGTGCCGCCGGTGGCCCTCTCCTTCGAGTCGGGCTACCTCCAGTTCAGCGACCAGCGCACCCGCATCGTGTCGTGGGAGCAGTTTTACGACGACGTCACGGCGCTCTACACCACCATGCAGCACCCCATCTGCCGCCGCGCCTGCTCCCAGCGCCTGCACGTGCTGGAGGAGAAGTACAACCTCTACAAGCTCTGCAACAGCGAGCTGGAGAACCCCGACCGCTACCGCCGCGACGGGGGCGTCTTCTCCAGCAGCACGAAGGTCGACAACGGCGTCTACCTCGCCTCGATCATGAACCCGCAGTGGCTGGTGGAGTACATGCAGGAGACGATGGAGCTGGAGGGGGACGAGGTGGTGCAACTCGCCAGGGACGCGAAGGAGCCGCAGACGCTGCGCGCCGTCTGCGAGCAGCTGGACTTGGCGGACCCCGCCCAGCTGAGCGTCGACAGCCTCGGCCTCACCCCGCCCAACGAAAAGCGCCTCTACCGCTACGATGTGCTGGACCCCGAGCTAAACCGCGCCGGCCGCAACAGCGCGGAGCTGCTCCGCCTCTTCCTCACCCCGGACACCCACAACAAGGGACGCTACTTCGCGGACGCGGTGCGCCCCATCCTCGCCCTCAACGGCGCCCGGCAGCGAAGCATTCAGGCGACGGAGAGCATCATTGAAATCTGCGGCCTCTCCCCGGACGAGTGGGAGAAGGCGGCGAACTGGATCCACGATCACGGGCTCGATGAGCACCCAAACAACCAGTGGCTCATCGCCCTGCCGCGGCGGCAGATGCGGAGGGAGACGCCGGCGGAGCCGCTGGAGCACTACCAGCAGCACCTCGAGAACCTCTTCCTGCCGCTCTTCATGGCGACGTTGGCCCCGGAGGACCCGAAAAACACGCAGGTGGCTTCCTTTCTCTCCCGCATCGGCGGCTTTGTGATTGTCTCGGATGAAGAGGAGCGCGAAAGCGAGTTCCAGCGGAAGCCGCGGCGGCCGGCGGAGGTCTCCTGGTCGGAGAACGTCTGCGACCTCTACTTTGCCTACAACATCTGGGTGAATCTCTGCTCCCTCAACGCGTTTCGGCGGCGCAAGGGGCTCTGCACGCTGCAGCTGCGCGCCATCGCCGGTGGGCGCAGCAGCCAGATGGACGTCCTCGTTTACTCCTACCTTCTCTGCGACAGTGTGGCGAACGGCGTCATCCTCGACCACCACCCCGTGCTGCAGTACCTCTACGGCATCCACCGCATCGGCGTGGTGATGTCGCCGCTCAGCAACAACGGACTGGGGCTTCCGTACATGCAGAACCCGTTTCACGTCTTTTTCCGCCGTGGACTAAACGTCTCGCTTGGCACGGATCGGCCGCTGCTCTTTCACTTCTCGCGGGAGCCCATTGTTGAGGAGTACGGCACGGCGAGCCGCCTGTATCAGCTCTCCGGCATCGACATATGCGAGATTGCGCTGAACTCCGTCATGGTCTCCTCCTTTCCGCTCGCCACGAAGGTGATGTGGCTCGGCGAGGCCTTCCTGACGGATGGGCCGAAGGGAAACGTCTTTGAGTTCAGCAAAGTCCCCACCGCCCGACTGGAGCTGCGGCAGGACATGTGGCAAACTGAGCTGCACATCATCGTGGAGGCGGCGCGGCGGCACTCGCGCGGAGACGACGCCACCAGTGCGACCTCCACGATGCTGCTCGCCGCCGCCGCCGCTGCTGCCGCCGCCGCCGCCGCCTCCACCGGTGACTACTCGGGGGCGAGTTCGGTGACGACCCCCGCCATTCTGCCGGCGAGCCAGGTGCCGTTTGTCGTGCTGGACCCGCGCATCGAGTACCCGCGGGTGGTCTTCGTCGGGCCGCCGGAGCGCGACCCCTCCTACACGACGGCGACGCAGCTCCTGCACCGCGCCCTGGAGCTGCGGGCGCAGTACGTCGGCCTCAGTCGCCTCGGCGAGGTGATTGACGGGAAGGACATGCTGAACCCGCACGAGATTGAGAACGCCTTCCGCCGCGACGACGCCTTTGACGAGAATGAGTGGATGTTCAAGACAGTCGAGGGGGTGCTGGTGCCGCACGAGGTGCATCAGATCCCGCGGCTGCCGAAGGAGATGTTTCACTACGACGACTTCCGCGCCCACGTGCAGGAGCTGCGGATTGTGATGGAGAACATCCACGTGCGCAACTTCGCGACGCGGCGGCTGGACCTGCTAGAGCACAAGTTCATGCTGCATCTCGCGGTGAACCGCAGCCTGGAGGCGGGCACCACCGCCAAGAAGGCCTCGCAGAACCGCGACTTTTACCAGGCGACCAAGGTAGACAACAACATCCGCGTGGAGAGCTGCATGACGGCGCGGCACCTGCTCAACTTCATTGTGTCAAAGGCAAACAACAACGCGGACGACATTGTCTCGCACCAGGAGGGGCGGGAGCCGCAGACGCTGCGGCAGCTGCTGCAGGAGCTGCAAATCTCCCCCGACACACTCACCGTGGACGACCTCAACGTGCAGGTGGACACCACGCTGGGGGTGGCGGGGGCGCAGTACACCCCCGAGGGGCGCGACGAGCTGCTCACGCTGCTACTCAAGACCGACAACCAAATGAAGGGGCGCTACTTTGCCGAGCTGACAAAGCTGACGTTCGAGAACTTCAAGCACGACCGTTTTACATTCACGGAGAACCGGTTACCGATTTACGGCGCCAACGGCAAGGAATGGGAGCTGCTCTCGGACTGGTTTGACACCCACGGCATGGCCTCGGTCCACAATCAGTGGATGGTGCAGGTCCCCCGCATCTACAGCTACCTGCGCAAGCGCGGCAAGGTGGGCAGCTTCGCCGAGTACCTGGAGAACATCTTCAAACCGCTCTGGGCCGTCTCGCTGCACCCCAGCAAGGACCCACGCCTCTTCCACTTCATCAACCACATCTCCGGCTTCGACTGCGTGGAGGATGAGCGCCGCCCAGACGCCCCGCTGAACATCGCCACAAAGCCGCCGCACGAGTGGACCTCGGAGGAGGAGCCGCCGTTTAACTACTACATGTATCATATGTGGGCAAACATTTACTCCCTCAACGAGTTCCGGCGACGGCGCAAGTTCTCCACCTTCACCTTCCGCCCAAGTTGCGGGGAGACGGGGCCGGTGGACCACCTCATCGGCGGCTTCCTCCTCGCCAACGCCATCAACTACGGCGTCACCCTCGCCGACGACGCCCCGCTGCAGTACCTCTTCTACCTGGCACGCATCGGCGTGACGGTGAGCCCGCTGAGCAACAACACCAAGGTCCGCGGCTACCTCGACAACCCCTTCCCGCACTTCTTCCGCCGAGGGCTCATGGTCTCGCTGAGCACCGACAGCCCGCTCATGTTTCACCACACGCAGGAGCCGCTGCTGGAGGAGTACTCCATCGCCTCCAAGGTGTGGAAGCTGGGGCCGAATGACATGTGCGAGATTGCCCGCAATAGTGTGCTGCTCTCTGGCTTCGACACCGCCTTCAAGCGGGAGCGCCTCGGGGATCTCTTCTTCCTCTCCAGCAGCCGGAGCAACGACGCCTCACGCACGCACCTCTCCGACATCCGCGTGGCGTACCGCTTTGAGACCTACCACTCTGAGATTGCGCTGCTGGAGCACATCTGCGGCCTCGAGTTCCCCAAGGCCCTCCTCACCCTCAGCGAGGAGAGCGCCCGGGAGGCGCAGTTCCTTGAGGCCGACAAGAAGAAGAAGGAGGCGCCGATCGGCGGCATTATCGACCCTCAGCCGCTGGAGAGCGACATTGAGAGGCTACAGCAGCAGCGGTCACTGATGCAGAGCCAACTAGAGGAGCTGAGCAAGACGCTCACGGGGCTGCAGCGGCAGAATAAGCAGCTGACGGAGAAGCTGGCGGACGAGATTGCGCGCGACCAGCAGGCGCAGCAGCTGCGCCGCCGCAGCTTTGAGGAGCGGTGGGACAGACTCATGGAGTCGGATGAGAAGGAAAGCTCCGCAGTGGCGATCGCGAACCTTGAAGACGTGCCGCTGGGGCGCATGTTGGGCTCGACGATGATGTCGGTTGCCGGCAGCCCCTGCGGCGCCGCGGCGGGCAGTGGTGAGGCGGCGTGGGATAGTACCGCGGAGGACGCGAACAAGTTCAATTCCCAGCAGCCGCAGGAGCAGGAGGAGGCAACGCAGAGCGAGGGCCAGCTGCGGACCAAGGCATCTATGCCGCTCGGTTCGATGAATACTGCGGGGGCGACGGCCGGTGGGACCAACGCCTCCAGCGCGGTGGGTGGCGCCAACTTCGGCACCCTTGACGCCAAGGGGATTGCGGCCGTCACCACGGCCTTGGTGAACTTCCAGGAGAACATGTGGAGCCGGGGCAACAACGACGGCGGCCCCCACGCCGCCCTGGCGGAGGTGCCGAGTGGGCAGAAAAGCAGGAGTGAGTTGCTGCTTCCACGGCTCAGTACCGACGCGGGCCACGCCGGCGTCAATGGTGCCCCCCCGAAAACGAACCGCTCCGCCGCGAAGCAGCCGCCAGCCCCGCCGCAGCGCACGCCGCGGGGTGTCGTGCAGCAGAGGCCCCCCGTCGTGCTACCGCCTTTCCTTTAGTGGCAGCGCAGCCCCCTCCCCCCACCACGGGGCAGGGGCGTGTCGGGCACTTCCCTTTGCCAGTGTTCTCTTTCCCCCCCCCCCCATTGCTCCCCTGCTCTTCACCCCTCGCCCCGCGCCTGAACACGCACGCTTCACTGCACGACGTCTGTTTGCGCTGCAGTGGGGGGTGAGGGAGGTACACACAAAAAAAGAAAAGAGAAGAATCAGGGAAAAGGAGAGAAATACACCCCCATGTAATATATCTGCAGAAGGTCTAAAGAGGGCACAACAAGTAGTAGATATATATATATATATATCAACTGCTTCCATGGTGCCCTTCAACGCACACGCACACACCGATGCAGTTTAGTTTAGGAGGGCCTGGTGCCTTCCTGCTACTCATTATTGTTGTTAGTATTCCTATTATTTCCATTTCATACGTCTTGTTTGTTTTCTTTTTGTTTTCTTTTTCTTTTCGGTCGTCTCTGTGTCTTGGTTTGGTTCTTCAGCGCACCGGGATCGAGGGGACAGCTCCCCGCAGCAGTAGCAGTAGGAGGGGCGTGGGCGGGAGAACGCGTCCACGACACTTCACACACGCGCAGCGACAGCAGCAGGAGGCGAAGAAGGACGGAGGTGAGGGTTTGACCGTGGGCCCGCACACAAATAGAAAGAGGCAAAGAACCAGGCGAGCGAGCAGCAAGCGAAGAAAAAGGAAGGAGGATGTGGCGCTCAACTTCCCTTTACGGCCTTCCAACGGTGCGCACCGTGGCCGCGGCGGGGTGGCGCTACCACAAGCCCGGCAAGCCAGAAAAGGTGCTGCAGTACGAGCGCTTTCGCGTCCCCTTCAACCGCAGTGGCTCGCAGGTGGTAGTGAAGATGCTGGCGGCCCCCGTGCACCGGCACGACCGCAACATGATCTCTGGGAACTACGGGGCCATCAAGCCGCTGGGGTTCCCGCAGGTGGCCGGCGTGGAGGGCGTCGGCGTGGTGGAGGAGGTCGGCGCCAGCGCCACCCTCAAGCTGCAGGAGGGGGACCTTGTCTGGGTGAACAACCCGAGCGTCGGCACGTGGGCGACGCACATCGTGACGGAGGCCGACAACCTCGACGTCGTGCCAAACCGCGCCGACGTCGACATCGAGTACCTCGCCTCCCTCTCGCTCTTCCACACCGCGTACCACCTGACAAACAGCTTCGTCAGCCTGCAGCCGAACGATGTGGTGCTGCAGACGGGCGCCTCCTCGTCTGTGGCGCAGATTTGCCAGGGCTACCTGCGGGCGCGGGGGGCGAAGCTGTTTCAGACCATGCAGCTTGGGCGCACCGAGCACGCCCACCTGGTGGCCTTTTTTAAGATGCGTGGGGCCTTTGCGGTGGTGCCGTACAACTACGTTCGCACCAACTACATGCGCCGCCTGCTTTCGGATGTGCCACCGCCGAAGCTGCTGCTGAACCACACCTGCGGCAACTACGCCTCTAGTCTTGTGAACCTGTTAGGCGATAATGGGGTGTGCGTCACGTACGGCAGCACCAGCGGGAAGCCGATGCAGATTGCGAACATGGACGCCATTGCGCGTGGGATTCAGTTCAAGGGATTCTTCCTGCCGCACTGGATACGCCGCCACACCCGCGAGGCGAGGATGCGGGTGCATCAGAACGTCGTCGAGAGCATGACGATCTCACAGGGTCACGGTATATTCCGGGCGCAGCGATTCAAGATGGATGGGGACAGTCCCTTTGCCTTCAGCAACGCCTGGGACGCGCCGCTTGGCAGCCGCAAGCCGATTCTGCGCATGGTGGGCGAGTACGGCGAGTGGCGCCGCCCGCGCTCTGACCAGGCGGCGTGGAACATTGGCCGGGCGGTGTGGGACGATTTGCTGCAGCAGATGTGGGAGAGCGCCGGCACGACGGAGAACCCGCAGTCGATGAAGTACTACACCCCCTTCAACGACATCTACTCCCACTTCCATGACGCGAAGCAGACGAAGGAGATGGGTCACCGCGACGTCTTCTTCCGCCGCCCCAACGCCCCACGCCACAACGCCGCGGAGCGGGTGTAGAGACGGGGGAAGAAGCAGAAGAAGAAGAAGAATTCGGCGCCCACGCACCACGGAGCATATGGAATACAATGCCGCCTCAAGTGACGGCGGCAGGGGAGGCAGCTCCGAAGGTAACAGAGAAAATAATTAAAAGGGGAGGGAAGAGAGAGGGAGGGAGGGAGGGATAGCATTTGTCAGTGTGCACGAGGCAAGGTTCTTCTGAAGGCGTCGTTACGCGGGGAGAATGGGGGAAAGGGGGGAAGTAGTAGTTAGTGCGCGGTAGTGGAGCGGCGCGCCGCACGAATGTGTCTGTGTGGGTGGGTGGGTGGGTGGGGGTTGGCGCGTGAGCGACTTCGTCGGCGCTTGCGGAAGTGAAATGCAGGGCGGATGGTGCTCCATCCGCCCTGCGGTAGAAAACTGGGCTGACGTGCGGTGGCGCCCTGCGAGGCAAAAAAAAAAAAAAGGTAATAGATACGGAGAAGGGACGGCGTTGAACCTCGCGAGTTGTCGTGTGTGTGTGTGTGTGTGTGTCTGTGTGTGTGTGTTCAAGTTGCTTTTTCCTCTCTGCGCCTCTGCCGCCGTTTCTTTGTGTTCTTCTCCGTGCCTTGTTTTGTTCTTGTCTTTATCTCCTCGCTCTCCGTCTCTCTTTGCGTGTGGGGGGGGGGGCTTCACCGGAAAAGCGGCGTTGTGCTTCAGTCCGCCAGCGCAGAAAGGCAAGAAGAAGACAAACTAAAAAAAAAAGTTTTCCTTTTTTTTTTTTTGCTCCTTTGGGCTTGCGTGTGTGTGTGTGTGTAGAGGCGGGAGGAAATGCAGGTGGGCCTGCGCGTCGACTGCCTGCGGCCCCGCATGCGCGGCTGCACCGCCGTCGCTGCCGCGGCGTCGCGGCTGTGGTGCGGCCCGCTCCGCACCGCGCGGCGGCGGCAGGCCAGCGATCAGTTTCACCGCTACCTGCACAACCCGCACATCGTGCAGCCCGACGGCGTCGACGCGCTGCCCCGCACCAAGGGCGACCAGCAGCAGTGGCTGAACACGGAGCAGTGGGACGGGTACAGCGCGGCGTATCTGCGGCGGCACATGCAGTACCCGCCAACCAACGAGCAGCCCAACGCGCAGCTCAACTCAAGCCACGCCCTGCTGTACGCGTGCCTGAAGACCTGCTACGAGTGCTACGGCCCCCTCGCCGACGAGCTGCAGCGACTCCACGAGGACCCGCTCCACCCGCGCTTTCACGAGAAGATTGCCCACGTGAAGAAGGAGCGGGAGAAGATTGCCGCCGAGTTGGACCGCGTCTACGCCGACCTGCATCCCACAGTGAAGACGGTCTACGACGCCTACTTGGTCCGCCGCTTTTACCACCTGGCCGACTGGATCACGCACGTCGAGCAGAAGCGGCACAACCTCCTCTGCCGCCTGTCACCAGAGTACATACAACAAGCCAAGCGGGCGCGGGGGGTGGCGGAAGACTTTATACGCCGCCTCCAGCAGCTTGAGGCGGCCTTCACGCACAACCCCACGCTGGGCCTGCTGGAGGGGGAGGAGGGCAAGCAGTACACGCACGACGAGCTGGTGATGCTCCGGCAGAAGGCGGCGTACTTCCGCAACATGCGGCAACTCGGCGTCAACCAACAGGACGCCGATGTCCACACGCACTAGTTGCCGGCGCAAGGGAATTGGCCGTTTGAGGGAAGGAGGAGGCAAGCAATAGTGAAGGCGCGAAATAGATAGCACTCCCCCATCCCCGCTTCTCTTCTCCTCCTCCGCGCATCACGCCGAGAAGTTCATCTCCGGCAAGCAACTGCAAAGGCAAAAGCAGAGCAACCGTGGAGTAAACGCGGAGCATGCACATACTGCAGTGGGTAATATTATATTAGGTATATTATATATATATATATAATATTTTGTATATCGCTTTTCTTTCCTTCTTTCTTGTATCTCTCTTTTTCTCTGGGCATGCGCGTGCAGGTGAGTGGGGCGTAGAGAATGAGTGCCCCGCGACGTGTCGTCAAGCTTCTGCAGTTCTCTGGATCCTACCTAAATGTGGCCTGGACGCGGAAGTTCATCCTTGGCTCCCTGCTGCAACGCTACAACCCCACACCGGCCGGCGGCGGTGGGGCGCCTGCTGCTGCTGCTGCCGCCGCCGCCGCCGCCGCGTCCTCTCCTTCCCCCAAGCTGACGCGCGAGGGTGCCGCGTTAGAGAAGGAGCTGCTTAGGCTGCAGCGCATGCTCGGGGAGGTGTGGTCGCTTCCGGTGCGGCCCTTGGACGCCGTGAGCGAGTCTCGCATTCTTCGGCTCCTCGCGCGGTACGCCGCCGGCGACGGGGTTCTCGCGACGGATGCGTTGGAGGAGCTGAATAGGGTGCTCGCCTGCATTCACGGCGCCCCGCGTGGCGTGGAGGATCCGCGGCGGATGGAGCGTCTCCTTCAGGCGCTGCAGTACGTGGAGCCCGACGACAACCTGCGCCGCGTGGCATTTGCGGGGGAGCTGCACTATCCGCCCAGTGCCCTCGCGCACATGCAGAGCCACCTGACGGAGGAGCTCCAGCAGGACGGCGGCGACCCCTTCGACGGCCTTCGGCAGCATCTGCAGGGGCCAGCGTACGCCATCGACTCCGCCACCACCTCCGAGGTGGACGACGCGATTGGGGTGCACACGGACCCGGCGACGGGGAAGGAGTACTTCGTGGTGTACGTCTCGGACGCCACCGTCTACTGCCCCTTCGACAGCGCGCTGGAGCAGCTCACGGCGCGGCTCCTGACCACCACGACGTACCTGCCGGAGGGAGTCTTCTTTATGCTGCCGAAGCCGATTGTGGAGGCGGCGACGCTGCGCGAGGACCGGCCGTGCCGGACGTTCAACATTCGCTTTCAGATCGACGACGCGACGGGGGAGCTGAAGAACTACAGCGTCGGCGTCGGTTGGCTGAAGCAGCTGCGCCGCCTCACCTACGACGCGGTGCAGGCTCTCTACGACTCCAAGGGGGAGGGGGAAGAAACGGCGGCGGCGGCACTCCCGCCTTGGGTCGCGGCGGCCGACGTCCGCGCCCTGCACCGCATCCACGCGGCGGCACTAAAGCGGCTTGAGGGGCGTCGGGCGCGCTCGCCGGAGCGCTTCATCGACGCGAACCTCCCGGAGCCCCGCATCACGGTGGCGGCGACGCGTGTGCTGTCGGTGGAGGACCAGGTGGTTGCCACCAAGGACGCCCGCCTGGCCGTCGCGGAGATGATGATCGCCGCCAACGAGGTCTGCTCCCGCGTGGCGCAGGCGAATCACCTGCCCATCCCCTACCGCGGCACCCGGGAGCTTTCCATGGATCACGAGGCGGCGCGCTTCTATCGGGAGCCGCAGGGCGTCACGGCAGTGGCGTCGCTGGATCCGCAGTACGTCTATTTTGCCGAGGCGATACAGCATGCCATTCGGCAGCTGAGCGCCGTCACGCGGGCCGTCTACTTTCACACACCCATTCACCACGCCGGGCTTAACACGTATAACTACACCCACAGCACGAGCCCGCTGCGGCGCTACGCAGACATGTTGGTGCACCACCAGCTAAAGATGTGGCTCTGGCGCACCTCCGCACAGAACATGCGCCGTGCCGCGTCGCCTGCCTCGCGGAAGGGAGCGCCACTGGCGATGATGATTGACCAGCCCATCGCTGAACACACCATGGCCACGCTGTGCTCCATGATAAGCAATAAGCAGGAGCAGTCTAGAATCTTGCAGGACAGCAGCCAACGCTACTGGCTACTGAGGCACATTGAGCAGAACATTCTCACAAAAGATCGTAACCATCGCTTCATTTGTCTGGTCGGCGACACACGTGGCGTGGAGAGTGCGCCGGAATACACACGCTTCATGGATTCCCCGCACTTGGACCACTCCCGAGCGGAGAACGAGGTGGGTGGTGCGTCGACCCCCGCGACGTTGCAGGGAGCCAAACGAACGGTGCCGCTGCGTGGTCGGTGGCAACAGCGACGCCACGAATACCGGTATGTGTCGGACATTTACATCCCGGAACTGCAGTTCGCACATGTGGTGCTCCACAGCCTGCCGAACGTGGTGATTGGGGCGGTGGTGGAGTGTGGGGTGGTTGCCGTGCACCCCACGCAGGGGCAGCTCACACTAAGGGTGGTCAGCGTGTGGGAGGGCGGGGACGAGCGTCGCTTTGAGGGGGTGTGGAAGCGGGCGCTGCTGCCGACGCTTGACTCGTGAGCGACAGGGCGCGGGAAAGGGGAAGAAAGGGGCTCACAACAGCGGCGGCCCCCCATTCCTAGGCCTGGTTGCGGGGGCTTCTGCGGCTCTCCGCCTCGTAGCCGCGCTCTCTCTTTCTCTGTCTCTTTCTCTGTGCGTGTGTGTGCTCCTTGTGGGTGCAGGAAGAAGGAAAGAAAAGGGGGAAAGACAAAGACGGGTCATGCGAACGCTGTCGCATCCCGCCGTGGTGTTGTCGTCATCTCCGCCTCTTCTTCTTCTTTTGTTTTGGTTTTGGTCTTGTTTTCTGCGTGGTTTGTGTCGCAGGGACAGGGAGAAGCCTTTGCCCGGGGCCGCACCAGGGCGCGTGTAGGTATATAAATATATACATCTACCCATGGGCTCCTTGTTCAGCGGGCTCTGGTCCCTCTTCAACCCGTCCCGCCACTACAAGCTGCTGATCCTGGGCCTCAACAATGCCGGCAAGACGTCTATTCTCTACTACCTGCAGCTCGGGCACGCCATCACGACCCAGCCGACGCTGGGCGGCAACGCGGAGACGCTGGACGTCACCCATGGCGCAAACAACAAGACCATTCAAATCACCTGCTGGGACCTCGGCGGGCAGGAGCAGCTGCGTGACTCGTGGTCGCTCTACTACGACCAGACGGACGCCGTCATATTCGTGGTGGACGCCGCTGACGCCGCGCGCTTCCCCACGGCGCGGAAGGTGCTGCATGGGCTCCTGAACGAAGAGCCCCGCCTTCGACAAGCGGTGCTGCTGGTGCTGGCAAACAAGCAGGACGTGCCGGGGGCGGCGAGTCCGGTAGAACTTATGGAGGCGCTCGGTTTGGCGGCGGTGCAGGACCGCACGTGGACCTTGATGGGGTGCAGCGCGGCGACCGGTGCGTCTCTGCGGGAGGCGATGGCGTGGGTGGCGCAGAAGGTGTCGGAGCCTGCGGCCGGCGCAGTGTGATGTGACGGTAACGCGAATACGCAAATTTTCCCGCCGTTCTCCCTCGGTCTACGTCCCCCCGCTGTTATACACTTTTTGTATTCCCTTCTTGCCGGCTCTGGTCGACGTCTCCCTGCGAACGGCGCGAGTGCGAATGGCCTACTCGCGTGCGTCGACTGACGCCTCCTTTTTCCCTCTTCTTTTCTTTCCTACTCTCTTCTCGTCCTGCCCCACCAATGACGAGAAAAGGGGGAGGGAACGGGCGACCAGCGGAGGCGGCGCGGAAGTGATGAAAAGAAGGATGTGCCGTGAGGCGAGCCCCGCGCCCCTCCTGCAGTTCCCGGCGCCCGCTCCTGCCGCGCGTCAGCAGGAGCCACGCCCAACGGAGTGGTGGGCTTTTAGCGGTCACGGCAGACGTTCGGCGCCGCGGCCCAACGAATTACCGGTGCCGCAGCGGGCAACGGCAACGCAGGATGGCGTGCACCGCGCCCTCTCCTGGTCTACCCATGAGGAGACTGAGCTGCCGTGCGGTGTCGCCACGTCTCGTCAAAGCGGAGGAGGCACAACCCCACCGGGGACAGGCCGTGCAAATGGCAGTCCCGCTCCCGAGTTTGCCTGTAGAGGCGTTGCGGACGACAATGACGATGATGGTAGTCCTTTAAGCATTGGGAGCCACAGCCACGATGTTGAAGAGGTTTCTTTGGGACGGCGGGCCTTACTGCTTCGCACCAGCGAGAAGTGTGGTGCTGCGGCGGCGGCGTGCCGCGGGGCTGTCCCCCCCAAGAGCCCTCGTCAGGACGAAAACGGGGAGGCGGAGTCGTCCGCAGCCCCCCATGCATCATCCCTCCCACGCTCCACCGTCTCCGCGCCTGCGCCCCCCGACCGGGTCGACGGGCTGGCTCAGCTGATGGCAGGGCTGCGGCAGGCCATCCTGCAGCTCAGCGGCGAGATGCGAGAGCTGCGGTTGGCAATACAGGAGCTGCGAGGGCCGCCGATGAACGGTCGGGGGAAGCGTCTTTCGCAGCCTGAGATTAGTGAAGCAATGGCGGTGGCGCCCGAGCCCCGTCGGGGCGAGCCCGCCCTCACCTCCTCCAGCTCCTCCCTCACGCCCCTCCGCACGCCTGAGGCGACGTCGTGCCGCCCCGCGTCCCCCGTGCTTCACACCGGGTGTCCGATGGCATTGCTGGACGCAGGCATCGTGAGCGCGGTCTCCGAGGGCCTAATGGAGCTCAGGGGCCTCCCGAGTTTTTTACCTGCCCGAACGCCGCGTCGCAGTTGAGGCGTCCCCTTTCACAACATTGAAAAGACGGAGCAGAGGCACGCCTAAGGGGACGTCGTGACGCGCCCGCGGGGACGTATTATCTCTCTCTCTCTCTCTCTCTGTGCCTGTCTGCCTGTTCGTCTGTCTGTGCACTAAACAAATCCCCCTCTGTTACTACACGCACGCACGATTTCTCTCTCTCTCCCTCCCTCTTTCACTCTCTCTTTGTCTTTCTATTTGTGTGTGAGTCCATACGGCGCACCTGTGTCCCCTGGAACTCAGTATACTTGTCAGGGGCAAAGGGTGGGTAACACTGGGCCTCAAGCGTCTGGAGGAGCAACCAGGGAGGGCGTACGTCTTGTTCTTGTTGCTCTTGTTTTGCGTGTGGAGTCAGACAGAAGCCTCCCCAAAAAAAAAAGGAACGAGAAGAATTGTGTGATAAGCTTCCGAGGAAGCGAGGATGCAGCTCGATGAAGTTTCTCTGGCCTTCCCTGGCTACGCGGCCTCCCTGTCCGACTCCAGCTCTGGTCGTTTTACCGCAGTGGGCCGGCGCCAGCGCTTCCGTTGGCTGCAACGGTGGGGAGCCGGGTGGTCCTCACCTCAAAGAACTGCAACCACGACGCCTTCATCTGGGAGGACAAGGAGACGGATTTGCTTTACCTGCGCTGTGCAATGCAGCACATGCTTCTGGGAAATGTGTTGCGCGAGACGGACACCCACTTGTTGGTGCGCTTTGACATCCCCTGCCACTGCCTGCCGCCGGGCGTGTGGAGCAGTCGTGCCGGTACGAGCCCCGAGGCGGGAAGGGGCGAGGAAAGAGACGTGGGCGACAAAAACAGCGGGCAAAGCCACGACGACGACGAGGTTGACGGGGTAAAGCTAAAGGGCGGGGATGAGCGTGTCGTGGACGCGGCGGGGGATGCAGGCGCCTGCGGCATGAATTTCTCCTCACCGCATGACGAGCCTGAGGCGGGGGGAGGCAGTGGCAGCGGCGGCGGCAGTTCCCTTTCAAGACCCATCCGCTTTGTCGTGGGCATCGTCCCCGTCCTGGTGCTCACGCATGACAACGCCGCGGTGCCGACGCCGCGCCGCAAGGTGCAGGAGGCCCAAGCGACAGACGAGGAGAGCGAGAAGTTGCGGTCCAGCTGCACCACGACGCTGTCTACGGTGCACTTCAGCAACGAAACCGCCCCTGACGTGCTGCACGTGTCCCTCTCCGTGACGCGGAGCGGCTGCACCTCGCTGCTGCAGAGCCTCCTGGAGCAGCACGAGAAACTTGAGTGCGTCAGCAGTGCCGTCGCAAACCGCGATTTTAAGTCGGCCGCGCGTCACATTTTGGCGGTGATCGACGCGCGGCGCAGCCTCGTTGCCGGGCAGAAGGAATTTTTAAAGGGCGTGAACGACTCCCAGCGGGCATTCCCCGTCGGGTTGCGGTCCAATCCTCCGCCACCAGGCAGCGAGGCGGGGCGGCGCAGCGACGACATCGTCCTGGCAGAGCGGCGGAGACGCTTTGTCATGGTGTTTCGTCGCGACAGGGGAAACTCCTCGTGTCTTGAGTTTCATCCACTGCTGTTAAGCACGCGAAATGATGAGGAAAACCTCCAGGCCGGCTCCGGCGGCGGTGGTGGAAGTGATGGTGGCAAAGGAGGCGGCAGTCTTTGTCTGCCGCCAACCGACATCGTGGAGGTGCACTCCGTTGGCTGTCATGAACTTCCCACGCTGCAAGTCATGTGGCACAGGGGCAGGGCACTCAAGGAACTCGCCTCCTTGTATGCCCTCTTGAGCTTTCTGCGCTTTCAAGACGGTCAGTATGAGCAGTGCCTTGAGGACGCCGTGACGGCCCTTGCACACGACTGCACATGTATAGAGGCCTACACTCGACTGATGTCTGGCTTCATTGCCCTCGGTGGGGAACAGGAGGCCATCGTGGCAGCGGCCGTGGCTGTGAGGTGCTGCCTTGTCCTCAGTCCTCAATTTGCGCGAGTTTCTCGGTTAGCCTACGTCTGCGCCTTTTACCACCGCAACCTTGGCAAGCACAGCGTTGTGGATGTTTCTCCACGCCTGCGTCACGCTTCTTTGGCGGAGGTGGGGTCTTTTAGGGAGTCAGCAGGCCCTTCAAAGACGCAACGGCTCACGCGTCGCCCGACGCTTGTGCGCATGCGAGGTCTGGGTAACTCATTTACGGCCCCTGCGCCCTTTTCGTTTGTTCCCCCGCCGTCGTTGCGGAACATTCTCTCAGGCGCGTCACCGCCGATGGAGTACTTCCTGCGCAACCTGCGTGCGCGCGCTTTGTGTGGATTTGAGCCGAACGAAACGGTTTTTTCCGAGGTCGTCTCACTGCAGGTGCTACTCTGGGGCCTGCCTACTTGTGAGCCAGAGACTTCAGCGGCGCCCTGCGCCGAGGTGGAGGCGGGCCTCGCCAGTCCATGGCTGCAGTGCCGCTCTCGCTTTTGTGCCTACTGCGGACACCCGCTTGTGTCGAGGAACGTGCTGCTGGCGGGAGTCCGCGAGCGGACGTCGCAGGCGATGGCCGACCGAGTTCGCTGGAAGTTCACTGAGAAGAAGCCATTGCCGTGCTTGGAAGGGTGCGGCGACCACTACTGCAACGAAATCTGCCGCAACCGCGCGGCGCTGGAGTATCACTGGATCGAGTGTGCGATGCTGCCTGCGGACGCTGCTGCTGCTGCCGCCGCCGCCGCCGCGGAGAAGGAAAAGGAGGGGGAAGAAGATGCGGTGGAGCCGCCATCGCCGCATGCTCGGGGCACTGCGGGTGACGCGACGGAGACGCGGGATGTCGGTGCCGCTGTTTTGTCGCCTGGCGGCGAGGATCCTCAAGGCCCGCTCTTGGAGCTTCTTCCCTATGCGCCGTCGCCGCTGAAGCGCCGGGGCGTGCGCGGCCTGGTGAACGTCTGTCGCCGCCTGCACACGCAGAAGCACCGCTTGGACGCCGTGGGGGTCTCGCTCGGGGTGCATGGCCCGACGCTGCGGCAGGACGGCTCAACCTCCTCCAGCGCAGAGGCAATGATCGAGCGCGACAGGACGTACATGAGTACCGTTCAGGCCTGCCGCTCCGTCCTCCCAGCCATTCGTGCCGCCTTCAGCGACTACTACGCCACGGTGGGCAACGCGATGCTGGGGAAGGCGCCCAACGCCACCACAGCGGCCCTCCTCGTCCTCGGCCGTCTTCTGGCGAGCGTCCTCCGCCTTTTTATGCCTGAAGCCGCGGCAAGCAACGAGATCGCCGCGCGTGGGAAGGGATGCTTTATTGGGACGGAGAGCAGCTGCCGTGAACGCGCAACCGCTGTCAGGACGATTGTGGCCCGCTACGCCTCACGCGGGTTCACAAGTGGCGGGGGGTCTCCGTCCGACCAACACGACTGTCACGGGCTTTGTCTGGCGGAGGAGGTGCTGCAGCAGCTTCGGGTGCCGTTTTTCGCCGACACAAACCTTCTCCAACCGAGCACGGTGTGGGAGATACTGGGTGAGGCCCCCAAGGTGGCCAACGCAAGCAAGAAGGATGAGGCCCCCAGTGCCGCGGCGGCGGCGATGCAGAGTATGCGCCGCGGCTTTGACCATGCCGTGGAGTTCCTGCGTGCGCTTGACGCCATCGTTCAGTCCCGCCTACGCGATGAGGCGGTGGCGTTTAGCCTGTCGATGAGCCCCGAGCGCTTCCCGAGTTTTGCCTTGCAGGACGCAAGCGTAAGCTGCGGGGACGGGGAGGGTCGCGTCTGGACGAAGAGCCACTCGGAGGATCCAAGGACGGAGTCGAGCGGCAGCGGTCAGGGCTCCGCGCGTCGCCCGCCGTTTCTCATGGACGTGGGAACGCTGGCCGTCTGGTTGTCCGAGGAGCACAGCAAGGTCACGCTGCCTGCGGGGCAGTATCCCGCCGTGTGGAGCTTTGGGCGGCTCCTGGGCTTTCTCGGTAAACGCCGCTTCATGGAGCAGATTTGGGACTTCTGCGTGTCCAGCTATTGCGTGGTGCCCAGATGCGTGCTCTCCGCCGGCATCGACGACGGCGTCCCTGAGCATCTGCAGGAGGGGTGGCGGACGATCTGTCGGCAGTACACCGTGTTGGTGGCGGTGATGGGGCCGCTGACGAGCCTCGTGACGGACCTCGCTGCCTTCGGCGACGAGGCGTGCTCCCGGTTCTTCAAGGACGCCGCGCCCGGTGGCCAGCGCAACCCGCTGCACCTGCGCAGGGGGGACTCCCCAGCGGCGTCGATGCTCTCCATCAACTCTCTCACGCACGAGCCTGACGAGCTGCACACGCGGGCGACAACCCACAGCATGGGTGCTGGGAGCGACCAAAGGCCGTCACCGCATGGCGAGGCCCTTCCTTCGGCAGCGCTGCCCTTGGGGAATTTGGAATTGTGTGGCAATAACGCCTTCAATTCCTTGGGGGGGCGTTGCGTGACGATGAGGGCGAAACGCCTCATTTTGCCTGGCGAGGAACTGCGTTACGAAGGCAAATGCGTGCTGTCTGAAGACACAAACAGAGAGATGTATGTAAAATGAGCTCTCCCGCACCGCCTTAACCGCCCTGTACTCCTACTGCGTGCTGGAGAGGTGAAAGGATGTGGAGGAGCAACCCTTTGCATTATGTAAAGGTGAGATATTCATTTCTGAATTCACGATACATTACTTATATACACATATATATATAAACGTCAATCCAAACATGTATACTTTTTCCCTGGGTGAACCGTGCTCCTCGTCGGTGGCCTTCAAGAGGTGGAATATATTTTGCATGATTCTTTTCTTTTTCTTTTTTTTTGGGGGAGGGGGGGAGGCGGGTTGCTTTTCCTCTGCCTTTTCAGTGGGTGTGAGTGTGGGTGTGTGCGAATCGCCAGGGGCGTCTGCCCCATGTCTTAGCCCTGTATTCGCTCCCCAGGAGTTATCTTGTCTTTTCTGAAGAACGGAAACGTAACAAGGGGACGGGTTCGTGGAGGGGGGCGAAACGGTCGTCTTTCAGTTGGATGTTTCTTTTTTATTGCCCTCTTTTTTTCTCTGGGCGTTTCTATTGGCTGGCAGTTCTCGTCACCACACGCCTCAGCTTGTGTGTGTGTGTGTCCATGTGTTTTGTGTTTGTCCATGTGTTTTGTGTTTGTTTGCCTTTGTTTCCCCTTTTTGCTCCATGTACGACAGCCGCTGCCTCTGAACACCTTCGCTGCAGTCGACATTCTCACTGCGTCTGTTTTTGCTTTTCGTTTTTTTTCCCCCCACCCACCCACCCATCTTTTTTTTTATTGTACGTATGCGTGCGTGCTCGTGAGTACACTCTCCCCCTTCACCCTTCCCGCAAGTAGTTTTACGCGAGCTTAACGTGCCGTGGGTGACGAACGCCGTGGCGGTGGTGGTGGTGGTGGTGAGCGGGGGCCAGTGAAGTTGTTTCTTGGATTCCACGTGAGATGTGTGTCTATACGCGTGCGTGTGTGTCTGTGTGTGTGTATTGCACACGCCCGCGTGCGTGCTCGACGCCGCTTC